ACAGACTCATGAGTGGGATATTTATCTAAGGAGGAAATAATTGTAATAAAATTGCATGACAAACTTTTTTTAACTATCCATATTTTAAGCATTCTAAAAATTTTTATTGAATCTTAGGTACCTTGTATTTATAGCTTTACTTACCAACACGTTTGTTGAAGAAATGCTAGAAAATAACCAATAAATATTTTTACGGGAGAAGGCTATCTCTTCAACGTTGAGCTAAGCTACCATGATCCCACAGATAATTTTGCAAACCAGCCTCGCCTCTGCATATCTTTTTTACATATGTGACACACGAGATTTTTGGTGACTCTCCTCGTTCACTCTTGGGTGCCTCTTTATTAGAATTTTATATATATATATATTTACTATCATTAAATTTTAAAAAAATGGAGGCGCGTTTTATAGGTTTCCCCTTGAGAGGATGCGGTATTATGGTGGATGGAGGATTGATTGGTGACGGACGAATTCTTATGGTGAATGTGGAAACTGTAATGTGTGAATGGGTCGTGAATCAGAGTAGCTAGGTATAAGATAGTTAGTGACGACCAGCCTCAACCCCTCACCATTTTGGCCTTGTGCCATAATTGTATTTTAAATACAATAAATATCCTGCGTATAAATTCCTCTTTGGAGGGATTTTCAACGCGGGCTTATCATCTCTCAGTTGCGTCTCTGTCTTTGGACAGAGTGCACCCAGGGGCTTCTCTGTCAAAGAACAAAGGGGCGACTGAGAAAATTATACTGAAGAGGTGCCCAGCACTGAGGAACAGCTGCCCGAGGCCGCGCCCTCCCATTGCACAAGAGGGAGGGATCGGTGCTCGCACCGAGGCCAGTGCAACTGACCGTACGCACCTGGGTTCACACCTAAAAAAGACCTTGTGTCACATCTCGTCCAAGTGGGGGGGGGAGTTAATACTGCGGGAAGTAATACTCGTGTCGGATTTGCTAGTCCGGGGATGGGGATTGATGGTAAGGCGAGGAACGCGTCCCTAACAATCCCCGCCATAATCGAATCTCCTGTCAACGCGCGGCGTAGGAAAGCCAACCTCGAGGCACGTTTGTGGCAATCCAAGTGTGGCATTCCCAGACCCCCATGACACGGATGTTGTGCACAGACTCGTCTGTCGAGCCGATTCTCGCGTCCCCTCCATAAAATGAAGGATAGCGAGCGCTCGAGCGGCTTCCTATGGTCGTCACAGAGAGGAAGTACGGACAATCGATAAAAGGACAAGATGGAAAACGTAAGTGGCACACGCCTCCGCCCTGCTCTTCACGGACAACCTCCGTCGATGCCAAGTCTGACCGGCTGCGTAGACCTTTGCTCGTAATTCAGACCAATTTTTCTCCAGCTGTAGGTCGGGTCCAAACCACACTCCAAGAATGCGAACAGGACCGTCTGTCCAACCGAAGGGCCCCGGAAGATCGGCCCCCTTCCAGGCACGTAACCGCAAGCCGGACGATTTGTCGCGGTTAATCTTGGCCCCTGTTACCTTTTTGTACCGATCAAGCGCCTTCAGTACCGCCTCAATGTCGCTGCGGGACGACACGAAAGCAGATACCTCATATATACAAGTTCAGACTGAATATCTTCTGAGCTCGAGACTACATCATCTTGTGGCATAACCAAATGCAAAAATAAAATATGAAGATGAAATTAAAATAAGGCGTTTGCTTTTCTTAAAAAACCATATCTCTTTCTCTCTCTCTCTCTCTCTCTCTCTCTTTCTTTCTCTGTATACTTCTCTATATATATACTTCTCTCTGAGAAGTATATATAGAGAGAAGTATACATATAATAAGGGGAAGAAAAAGAAAATGAACGACATTTGCAAAGCGGAAGTTGGCTGGTTCAGGATCTAGTTTATTGTGACTAGGAATCGACCAAAACAAGGGACACTCCGCGCATAACTTCCGCTATAAAAAAAAAAAAGGAAAAAAGAAACTTCGGAAAATAAATAAAATAAAATAAATAAATAAAATAAAATAAAATAAAATAAATAAATCAAAATAAAATTTGGCTATTCAAAAGAACAAGGACAATTTAGAATTCAGCCGAACTGAACTTCGCACTAAGCCGTGTGGAGCATTTCAAAATTGTATATAAATGGCCAAGAGACAGATAATAGGAGAAAACGCTTTCTGAACGTGTCTGTCGGAGTTAGCTCCTCCTTGGCTCCTTAAACCGGAAGAGAACAGGTCATTTCGACCTTGACCTTTCGGTTGTGCTCCCTACACGCTGTTAACCCGACGTAGAGACTAGCAAGTTACCTTTTCAGTTTAGTTATATTACGAACCTAGTCGTAATATACTTCTATGCATTTTTAGGCTTTGGTTTTTTAGCTAAGCTCTACTCATTTTATAGATAGACTTTACTGTGTTAAATTACCAATTCTCTTGCTAGTCTCCCTTACCACAAGACAGCGACTTCTCGCTAAAAATAGGGTCGGCGACTGAAACGGTCGGTACGCAGGCCCCTGGCCTCGGTGGCCAGGATGTCGATCACCGGGCTGTGTATTAAGTTACGCTCCCATTTCTTTTTGTCTGCCAACTTGATAGTTGGAAACTTTCTCTCTCTCTCTCTACTTCGCCTCTTGCTTCTGGCTTCTTGCCAATGTTAAATTCTCGGCATTCGTCCCTACTGGCTGCCTGCACGTCGTCCATAACCTTTCCCGTACACTACGTTTGTAATTATTACGGGAGGTTACTAATATCGGACTCGACCGGCAGACACGCAACGCCTGCACTGGACCTTTGACATGCCCGAGCAACATCGCAACGCCAGCTCCTCTTTCCTTCCCAACACGTCAAGTTGGCATCCCGGCAACGACCAACATCAACCTCAAACTACAATGACCAGCAGCGATTATCTGCAACGACCGACATCAACTTCAACTACAGCGACCACCTACAACGACCAGCAGCGATCACCTGCAACGACCAGCAGCGATCACCTGTAACGACACCTGTAACAACCAACCTCGACCATCAATGTCTGCACCGAACCATCTGCATCTCTACCGTTCCGACCACCTTTATTACTTTTCTAGAATAAATTAGCTTATATCTTATATATCGTCGTTCTGTCGTCTATGTTGTTTCACCTTGTCAGATTTAACGTCTTCGAAAATGCTAGCGGGCCTTTTGTGACCTCATCACCCTTTTGTGATACGGGGGCGCTCGAGGGGTCCGCTACATGTCACATAACGAACTAATCGTTCATCTGATTAAGACATTTTCCCGCTTTTTGAAGGGCCAATGTAACCAATAGATTTGCGTCGAAACACGTCTCCAAAGTAAAAACATTATTTCGAAAATTGAACACTTTTGTTTGAAGATGAGTCAATCCTAGTATATCTGAAGTTTCCCCTGAGACACCATGGCGTTTTTCCACATTTCCTAAGAGCTTCGTACTTCTTTGATCTTAAAACGATTGCAACCGTAAAAAAAAAATTCCAACCAGACCTCTTGAATATATACTTACCTGGCTTATGTCAGAGGGTATCTCCCAGACGAGGCTCTGCCGAGGGGCGGAGTCTCATCTCGGGAAACTGACTCCGTTTTTACGTGGTCTATAGGGAATTTCTGCCCGAGCCTACGGGCTCGGATACCCCACTTTAAACTCGGCTTTGTGCCACATCTTGCTGCGTGGGGCAGCGGGTAAATAATTATATATATATATATATATATATATATATATATAGATAGATAGATAGATAGATAGATCCGCAGGTTTTGAATTCAGAGTTGTCCTTCTCCTAGACCAGTTACCATTCAAAGCTATAGAACCCAGTCTGTCCTGCTATTTTTACCCATAGCTGGTGGGAGGGAAGATTCCTATCTTTCCTAAAGGTATTAACACGTAGGTGAATGTGTTGGGGACGCGCAGAATTTATTAATTATGTTAGAAAGAATCAGAAGGATTTTGAGTAGGCTGCGTGACTTTTTGCATCCCAAACAAATAAATAAACGAAATTTAAAATACGATTAAAAAACGAGACATATTCAATTAGAAATCAATACAACATTTATATACAATTCAAAGGTATATACAACAGGATAATTAATATATTGTTATGTAGGCGAAATGTGTATGCGGTTTTTTTGTTCTCAGAATGTCTCTCTTTGTAATTGTTCGTTCATTTACAGTCTTTTTAAGTTCGTGTTGATGTTTGTAATTGTAGATATTAAATGTCTTTTTAGAAGGTTTTTTTTTTAGAGTGATCTACCTTTAAGTGTAATGTAATGTTTTTCTAAGGTCGTTCGTTCGTTCGTTGGTGTTTACCTAAAGTGAATCATATTCTCTACTTATTAAAGTAGAGAATATGATTCACTTTAGATAAGCAATATTGAGAACTGATGTCCACAGAGTTGATTAAATCTCGATCGGGTATGAGTCAGCGATGATGTATCTTTTGCGCGGCAAAATCGTGATCTTTAGTGACGTGGAGTATTTTGGAAAGTTCTCTGTGGGTGTTTGTTACTGACTGTCTAAAGTTGGTAATTGTCTTTAACGTCTGGTCAGCAATGACTAAGACGGGAGTCGGTGAATGTTACATCTTGAAACTTGGTAATTACTGCTCCTCGGAAGGTTCACACGTTTTCGGTTTATATAATCACTGAGTGGCTCCCAGCATATGAGCGGGAAAACAGATTGGTCGCGTGCAGGCGGTTTGATTGGTCGGAACTGACCAACCAGCAAGCCAGATTGGAGGTGATTGACCAATGAATACTTGTTATATTGTCTATAAGTAGAATTTGGCTTACTAGATAGGAAGAGTGCATTTCCTACAAAGAGGTAAGGCTGGTTGTGTTGTGGGAGATTCTACAAATGCAATGGATTCAACTGGAATTCGAACTCGGAGACCTTGTGGCACACAGTGCACCAGATCTGTATTGGGCTCTTCAAAAAGTGTGGTTGGTTCTGCACAAGACCTTCAAATTCATATGTGCAGCTTGTCTGGCTGTCAGTTCATAGAAACTGAGGTGCCTGACCCTCATACGTCGTAAAAGGGAAAGAGTCGCCGGTAGACGCGGGTCAGCAGCCCGCCTAGATCAACGACGGAAGAGCCTACGATATATTCTGCTTGTTACTAACAATATATATATATATATATATATATATATATATATTGCTACTAACAAACAACAAATATATATATTGCTACTAACAAACAAACAAACAAAACAAAGAAAAATTCTGCTTGTTAGTAGCTATATATATATATATATATATATATATATCTACTAACAAACAGAATTTTTTTTCTAATTGAAAATAATAAAACGAAAGAATAATTTACAAACCAGTGTGTCTGAAGATTTTAGTTTTTAATATTTTTATTGTTTATATATATATATATATATATATATATATATATATATATATATATATATATATATATATATATATTGTTCCATGTTCTAATAACTTTTTCTTTTTATCACTTACTTTTTATCTTTATTTTTTAAATGTTTTTTTAATTATAACTTGTGTTTTTTGGGTTTTTTAAGAATGTATAATTTATTTTATCTTATTTTTTTTTGTTCTTTAATATAATTTTTTAAAAATATATTCTTACTTAAATTTATCATCATCATGGTGTTGTCTTTTATTTTAAAAAAGCAAAACATAGGGACATATCAAAACTTAGTTACCTCCCCTGACATTAACATCCTTAAATTTAAACCGTACAGTGCATGAACTTAGCGTTTCTCACTTTACAATTAAAAAAATTAACTTTCAGATGAACACAACAATTTTGCCTTTCCAGATTCACGCCTCTATGCATTCTTCTTTGGGTGTGCAGGCGTTGCAATGTTTTGCGGTCAGGAACAAGAAATTAGCGAGCCGAGTTTAATTTCCAGTCGAGTTTGTTGCATTCACTTTCGCGCAAGTGCCCTTAGGAAAGATAACAATAGATCCTCTAGCTATGGATTAAATAGTAGGACAGACTGAGCTCATTCAACCTTGAATTTAATTTGCAATCAGTCTAGGAGAAAGACAACCCTTGAATACAAAACTGATTGTGTATATGGCTCGCAAATCAATCCCGTATAAAACCCACTTGCTACGAAAATGCAAAAACCGTAGCAGCAATGCCGGACGTGTGGAGAGCTGTGACCCCAATACTCTTCAATGAAGTCTACACCACTTTCAAAATTTAAAAACTTAACACAGGGCGACATATAACTTGACAGTGTCTCAGGACTGGTTGATTGATGTGCCGATTTGTGTTTTACAGTTTATCGACCTTTTGCAGGTTATTTAAAGCCAGAAAATATTTTTAGACTGTAAGAATGTTTTGGAGATACAAGTCTTACTATTTAACCCATAGCTGCGAAGAGTAGCTGTCAATTCATAGCTTTCCCGAGGCATTAGTGACTATCACGAACCCGACTGGGATTGGAACTCGGCTCTACGAGTTCCAATTCCCAGCCAATATCAATTACATTACCCGCACATCCAAGATTACACTCACGTCGTATTCCTATCTATGTAATGACCAGACTGAACATTGTTTAAATTCAAAGTGATATGGCCGTAAGCAAGCACAGTATCTCAGGATATTAAATTACTCAAATTTTAAAAAGTCGATCCCAGTTGCGAAAAATCTTGTTTAATGGAAGTTGTTTCATTTTTTTTAAAAGAATAATTTCAGGAAATCTTTGTTTGTTTGTTTGTTTTGTTTTGTTTTGTTTTACGGCATATCAATCTCAAAGGGTTATTTAATGCCGACAAAATTTTCATTGTTGGTAATATTTTTTTTTCTAAAAATCTATTTGTGGTAAGAATTTTTCTTCACCGGTAATAATTTTTTCCAAAAAATGTATTTCTGGTAATATTTGTTTTTCAAAAATGTATTGCAGGCAACAATTTTCTTTTTTTTTACAAAATTTTTCTCGTATTAAAACCTATTTTTACACTTTCATAGTATTTTGTCTCCAGTTTGAGGATTAACTATTTGCCCATAGCTAGGACCCTAACAGGTGCTACCACCCCGGATCAGGGTGGAGCTGGGAACAACAGCAATTAAGAGGTGGCTCCACACTCCTCAAAGCCTCATGATCAGAGGCCTCGCTGCCGGACGTAGTTTATCGTCTTACCCAGGAAGCGGATATAATTTATTGTTATACCCAGGACGCGGAATCTTTAGTAAATATAGTATTTTAGCATTATAATATTTTAGTAATATCTACTCATATTTGTCTAATATTAAGTCATATTTTAGACTCCTGTAATGTTCTAATCAATAACTTTATAAACTATACTACTATTTTAAATAGCAAGTTAACCTACGAGAGAGTGGAGTAGTTATGTGACCAATATATATATATAATTAAGCATTCAACCACAAGCAAGGCAGGAAGCCACGAGCACACAAGGGATTACAGAGAGTTGGATCGAGAGTAATAGAGGAAAGGATGAAGAGAAGGTTAGGGGATAGATCAGGGCATCTAGAGACGTCAATTGACATTACATTTGAATAGTTAGAGATCATAGCTATCAGGAAAACAAGAAATGGGACGGGAGGTCCACAGACGAGAAGTGCGAGATATGAAGCTATTGGAGTAGAAGATACGGGTACATTTAACAGTTTCAACGGTGAAAGGGTGAGAGCGTGATGCCAGCCTAGTTGAAGGCTTAAATTCATGGAGTCTAGGAACCAGCGAAAGCAGCTCATCGGATCAATTACCGTGATAGTATTTGTAAAAAAAGATAGAGGGAGGCGACGGCACGTCTGTGAAAGAGCGGCTACAGACGAGATGCCAGGTCAGGGCCAATTACATTGCATATCCGTCTTTGGATTTTATCAAGAACCTTGAGACAAATAGAAGGGCTTCCAGACCATAGATGGCAGCAATACTTCATGCCAGGGCGAATGGTTGATTTGTAGATTTGAAGGATCGACTTAGCCGAGAAAAATTTCCTGGCGCGGCACAGGGAGCCGACTTTCTTAGTGGTGGACGAAGCTATTGACTCAATGTATTCGTTCCATCTCTGGTCAGCAGACAATGTGAGACTGAGCAGTCGCAAAGAGGTGCTCTCGTGAAGTTGAGTGTCAGACATTCTAATGGGATCAGGAATGGTTCCTTGTGGTAAATAATAGAGAGCAGTTTTGTTTTTGAGGCATTAAAGTTAACCAGCCAATTCCTGCCCCAGTATATATATTGCATGAAAGTGATTTTTGAGGTTCAGTGTTATTAATAATTATTAGGTAAGATGCTTTAAAATTTTTATAATAAATTATAAATCTAAAGTCATTTATTACACTCATTATGTAACATGTACCTACAAATTATACGTTTAATGGCTTTTTCATCGAATTTATTGTTTGGATATGTCATCAATAGAATGAAGTAATGGTGACTTCCGTTTTGCTTGAAGCAGAATTATTGTTATTTAATGACGTGGCTGGGGAAATTATTATTGTTTCTGTGTTTATGTTGTTCAGTTCTTTGTAAAAAAAATAAAGAGCCCGAAGAGGAAATAACTTTGGCAAGATTGATCATGTTCTTTATAATGTCGATTTTATATCTGTGAGGACGTTCTTCACTTTGGGAATTAAGACGAGAATTTTTAGCTCGGCCATTTTACAGTGAAGTAGTAAAGAATCGACAAAAACATTAAAAAAAAAAAAGGAATTCTATTATCAAGTTCATTTTGTAGAAGGTAACTGCGACAATCTCCAAATGGAGATAGGAGCAGGTAGGTCTGCCTATCGCCCGGTTCACATTCTTTACCGGTTTTTGAACAGGAATAGGGGTTTACCCCTTGTTTTCTGTTCAGGAGTGGGTTTCTAGTTCCTTCTAAAGTCTGCTTCAACTCTATACTTCTAACGTCTCCGCCTAAAACTCTGAACTTTTATTTACTATTTGTTTACTCACTTTTTTACTCAATAGGAATAGATATGTTTGCCAATCGTTCGGTTCACACAACCACCCCTGTCTTTTGAACAGGAGTAGAGGTTTTATCCATTATTTTCTGTTTAAGAATGGGTTTCCTGTTTCTTCTGAAGTCTTCTCGTTCTGTTTTACTTCTAGAAGCGTCTTGCACCTTAGTGGCATTATTGTCTTGCTTGGGGTGAATTGATTAAAAAATTCCGAGAGATGATCTCAGCATGTCGCACTGTTGAGACATGATTGAAATTGCCAGGCTATCTAGTGGTATCTCATTTACACAAGAGGGATGTGGGTTCAAACCTGGAAAATAGAGGTCATTTTCTTTATTAAAGACTCTCAGAGACCCAGGACAGTCGAAAGCAGTTCTTCTTCTATATGCTATGTCTCTTCATGACGTGGGCTATCATAGCTCTCCACAGATTCCTGCCTTTCGCAATCTCTTCCAATCCCTATCCTGACAACCATTTATACATGCTCGTTAGACAGGGGTTATGCACTGTTTTTTTATACTCCTCTTGTCTTCAATAGGTCTTGTGGGTGTCAAATTTTTCCAAACCCGCTTCGTCGTTCAGTCGATGTGCTCAGTCCATGGTATCCTCAACATCCTTCTGTAGAACCATATTTCTGTTAACTCAAGTCTCTTCTCAATCTTTGATTTTCACTGCTATGTAATATCGGTACTCTTATAGAGTACCGATATTACATAGCAGTTAAATACTCTTTTGTTTTTGTTTTGTTTTGTTTTTTGTTTTTATTTCTGACCGGATTTTCCTGTTTCTTATTCTTTTACTTAGCTTTCGGAAGGCACCTTCGCAATCCTAACACACATTCGGATTTCGGTGTCGCATTTTTGTTCTGAGTTAAAACATTCTCTAGATATTTAAATTTTTGTACTTGCTTGAATTTGGTGTTTCTAATTTCTAATTTGCATATTCGACTGTTAATTTTGCTAACAACCATGCTTTCTGTATTCATGTATTTGATGCTTAGTCCTTTCTTCATTCTTTCTTTTACTACATTCCATAGGAATTCCTGGATTTCCCTTTCTGTGTCTGCTATCAATACTAATGTGTCTGCTGTCAATAATAAATCTTGGTAGGACTTCTAATTCTTTCAGGTTTGCTTCACTGTAAAGGTTGAATAAGTCTGGCTCATGTTCCTTTCTAATTTTGTATATTTACTGAATTAATTTTCTATCCTCATGCTGATGGTTTGCCTCCAGTATAGGTTTTGGATTATTCTAATATCCATCCTGTTATGGGAAGCTAATTTACTTCCCCTCTAAAGGACGATAACTCAAAATACAATTGAGTTACTTCCCTTGTCTGGAAGAGGAGCATGGCACTTCTGAATCCAACATGGTGACAAGCTGACACGCACGTGGAATTCAGAGTTTCAATCCAAACAATCCTTGCTGTCCTCAAGCAGTAAATGAATAAAAGTTATTTTATTATATATGAAAATACTCTTGTCTTTTATTTTCATTCGTTTTTCCCCCATCCCAACAAGCTGGGTTATGGCAATTAGATAGATAGATAGATAGATAGATAGATAGATAGATAGATAGATAGATAATGAACAGACTGAGATAGATAGATAGATAGATAGATAGATAGATAGATAATGAACAGACTGAGATAGATAGATAGATAGATAGATAGATAGATAGATAATGAAAAGGCTTATAGATAGATAGATAGATAGATAGATAGATAGATAGATAGATAGATAGATAGATAATGAACAGACTGAGATAGATAGATAGATAGATAGATAGATAGATAGATAGATAGATAGATAATGAACAGACTGAGATAGATAGATAGATAGATAGATAATGAAAAGGCTTATAGATATATATATATATATATAGATAGATAATGAAAAGGCTTATAGATAGATAGATAGATAATGAAAAGGCTTATAGATAGATAGATAGATAGATAATGAACAGACTGAGATAGATAGATAGATAGATAGATAGATAGATAGATAGATAGATAGATAATGAAAAGGCTTATAGATAGATAGATAGATAGATAGATAGATAGATAGATAGATAGATAGATAATGAACAGACTGAGATAGATAGATAGATAGATAGGTAGATAGATAGATAGATAGATAATGAACAGACTGAGATAGATAGATAGATAGATAGATAGATAGATAGATAGATAGATAGATAGATAGATAGATAGATAAAAAATTAGTGTTATAGGGTGTTACTTACTTCCCCCTATAAAGGACGATAACTCAAAATACAATGGAGTTACGTCCCTTGTTCACAAGTGGGAAAACAGCACTTTTGAATTAAACATGGCAACAATCTGACACGCATATGGAACTCATAGTTTCAATCCAAACAAATCCTTGTTGTTCTCAGGCAGCGAAGGAATAAAAGATGTTTTATTATGTGTTAAAATTATCTTGTCATTTATTTTCATTCGTTTTTGTTCATCCCAACAAACTAGGAAATAACACTTCTCAAATAAATCAAGCTTACCTAGCAATTCTTTGTGATGTACGTTGCCAAACAGTTTTGCATAATCTATAAAAAACATTGGAATATTCGGACGGTTAAAATAATTGTTCTTTGGGATTCTCATCTCAGAATAAAATGTTAACTGAACCTGCTGAGCCAGGATGCTTCTGAGGTATTTTACTCTATCTCAATTTCGTAATTTTTAGGTAAAGGAAGCGTAAAAACTAAAAACTTCTAAAAATTTCGACCATTTCACATAGATATGAGGTCCGCCTATCGCCCATTTCATACACCTCCTTGGTCCTTTGAACAAGAGTAAAGTTTTATCCCTTGTTTCCTGTTTGGGATTGGGTTTACAGTTCTTTTAAACATTGTAGTGGACCTATGGAATTAACACATTAATTCCATCTGTGACGGTTACACACCTGGCCCAGTGTCGGATCCTTTGGTTACGGCGCCAACGGTGACGTCGCTCCTCCTGGGTCCAAGCGTGCCGCTCCAACCCTTTGGTCAGATGATCACCAGCCTCGCCTTTCCCGACTCGCTTCCAATACCTGGTCACTAAAGCAACTATACCGATCTCCGGTCTGTCTACCCACGCTGTGTTTAGATCTTAGACAGACGGGACCAGCAGGGATTTGGGCCGATACAAGTCGAGTCCGACGGGGGTGGCAAAACACAAATAAAACAAAAACTCACGACACTAAACAAAATTGCTGATAAAAAGGGTAACAACCTTTTATATCTTAATGTCCGTTACATAAAAACAAAATTGTTCTCAATTCCCCGACCCGCTCTGTGGACTATGGCACCAAGCTTCTATCACACAATAGAAAAATGTCGAATTACCTACTTTCTAGAATCATGTATGTATGTCGGAGTGTGGTTCAGTTCGACACTGGGGCTAATTTCTATCGATCATTCGCAGTTGATTCTTCTCTCCGACTTGAGTTGTATTTCTTCTTCTTCGTCTGCTTGGGCTGGTAGTTTTCCTGTTTCAACTTGGTGGAAGATTTCTTGTTTCAACTTAGCCGCAACTCTCTGTCGTCTGAGGTGGTCTCTTCTCACTGCCGTCCGGGGCTGAACTCTTCTGTCTTCGACTTGGGCTGGAAGGATCTCTTGTCTTCGACTTGGGCTGGAAGGATTTCTTGTCTGAGGATTCTTCTGCCCGCAAAGGGGCGAGTGAATCGGGCCTGATGGCCGCGTTCAGGCTCTATCCCTGCCCGCGGTCCAACTCTCAACTCCAACTGCAACTCCAACTGCAACTCCAACTCAACTGATTTCTGTCGACTGGGGTCCTGCCTATATTGACGCCGCAACAAACTGGGGTGGGTCTGTCGGCGTCAGGGTTTTCTCGATAATTCCAAAAGCTGCATTAATTCTGTCTTCTCCATTATCGCTATTGTTTTCACCCCTACTTCCTCATAGTGCCTTTGGTGGGGAGGCGCATATCCATCTCTCTCGGTCTCTCGTATGTCAGGTGACCGCTTTAACCAATGGTTCCTGATCGGGCATTTCTTTCCCTTCTCTTCCGCAGATCACGTGACCGTCTTCGACCAATCGTTCCTGATCGAGCATTTCTTTCCCTTCTCTTCCGCAGATCACGTGACCGTCTCCGACCAATTGTTATTGATCGAACATCCTTTCTCCTCTTGTTGCGGGCGTGGTTACATCGTTCTTGTTTAAAAAAAAAAAAATCTAATTTTTCCTTTTTTTTTCGCACGTACGAAAAATGACCATCTTGGCCTTCTCTCACCTGGACTTTGTCAAACAGCCCGCCGCTAATTAGTCTTGACTTTAGAAAGGATCTTTTCCGCCTTCTTGGCGCCCTCCGTGAGCCAAAAGCAACTGTCCCTCTTTTTACCTCTTTGTTTTTCCTGATAGTCGAAAATCTTAATTATCTACTTTGAAAATGTCTCCACTTTATTAACGTGGGTGTCCAATTCTTAACAGGTCAGGATCTGTATATCGTTCCACCGGTCACTCCCCTCAACCCAAAGACACTTTTTCTCTGATTAAGATTGTTTCATTGTTCCCAAAATTTCTCTTTATCCAAATTGATAAGGTGTCTTTCCATGCAAAAGTAGGCTAGGTGCTTTGACCGATATCTGGCTTCCATCAAGCGGCCCGTTTTGATATCATGTCTTTTTCCCTTTCTTTCTTCTTATTATTTATAATTCTATTCTTCCAATTGTCTTTCGAAAATCGGCCAAGACGCTGACCTAAATCTCTTTTCTGACTCCTATCTCCACCCTCAATTGGGTCATGCATCATACAACTCTTTTTCTCTTCTTCTTTCTTTTCTTTTTTTCTTTTCTTTCCTTCTTCTTCCCTTAAGATCGTCTAGTACAATCTTAGTGAGTTATTTTCAACTCAGTTATTTTCCGTTTTAAAAAAAAAATCAACAACCTGTTTAGTAACCGAGTAAGAAAAAATTAAATCATATTTCTATGAATATTTCTAATAATGCAAGGTGCCACACATCTATATTTTACGCACGCGCGAGTTTCCTCCCTTTCTTTCACACTCGTGCGTGTGAGCGCGCGGTTTGCACCCCTTCCTTCTTCTCACAGCTAGACGTAGCAGTAACCTGGAGGAAGAACTTCGCTAGCTCCTACTGATGAAGTCAGACTAACAGATTTTGAATTTTTTTCCCGCGCGTTTCTCGGCGTCTCAAACGAACAGCGTTTGCAAACCAGTTGCCTTCCGACTTTCGACCTAACTAGACGAGCAACTCATTTATTCCGTGCCCTTAACCCATATGCGGGCCGGAATATCTTATTTCAACAATGTCGACCTCACACTGTACCAAGACTTCTTCTCGTCTTGAAGCTGCCCGCAGGTCAGACCTTCTCCGTTTTCGACCAGAAGACGTTCGAGACACACGACACAGTCGTGAACAAAACTTCGTATTCAACAAGTGTTTTATTTTTATCCCTCGTCAGTCAATCGTAAATACAGACAGGGATATCCTACTGATGAACAACTTGCTATCCGCAGGTCAGACCTTCTCCGTTTTCTGCTAGAAAATGTGCGAGACACACGACACAGTCGTGGGCAAAACTTCGTATTCAACAGGTGACTTACATTTATCCCTCGTCAGTCAATATTAAATACAGACAGGGACATCTTACTGACGAACAGACATTCTTCGTCCCTTCTGGACTCGCCATAATTAACTTCTCATAGACGATGCAACCAACCGCAAATAACTCTTCGTCCTTTGGCTAGACGTCCACAGCATTCCGTTAAAATTTTCAACAGTTAATTCAAGACCTGACCGAACTCTGAGACCCTACTTTGAACCTGAACATAAAAAAGAAACAAAGAAAAAAACACAAAATCACATACACTCTCAACGCCAAAAAAATCCACAGTGAGTACTCCTTTCTATCTGTGCGCACATACACCTCTGTTAACGAGTTCCTTTTTCCAGAACCTTATAAAACTCTTTTCCCGCCTTGTTCATCTTGCATTTCTATTTAGGCGCGGAACTTTTCCCTGATCTCGTACCACGAGATAATCTACTTGTTTCCATCTAATAAAAGTTACACATGTTTTACAAACAGACGTCTTTGTCATTTTATTCCGGCTATCTCTTTGATGTTTATAATTTATGCACCCGTTGATTGACCCCTTCCCTCTCACTGTTCATTCACACGCATTTTTATTTTTTTTATACATTGCTTGCGGACTCGGTAGTTTAGTGTGGTGTCTGGCACAAGGCCACTTCGTAATAAACCAGCACTGCACGCTGCCGGGTCCACAACAGACCGACGGGTTGATGATGTAAAGAACACAGGTGGGTTAAAATTTCCTGCTAGCCGGGCCAGCTACATGGGAATGTTGGACTTTAATTAAGTCCAAAGAAGACAAAGAAAACAAACAAGACCGATAATTATATACAAACAAATATATGTATTAACAATAAGTTACAAAACAAATGGACAGTTACATAGAGTTTGGGTGGTGAATATTATGTGGGTGAGTGTTCGTACGTACGTGTATCGGTATTGTTCTTAGCGTGATCGCAGAATTTGAGAAACGATGCATTGGTGAGAGCTCACATATTGGTATTAGCTGAAATGAAGAAAGAAGAGAAAAGAATTACCTCACCTCCACGCGAGGTGGTATACGGCCCAAAGCCTGAGAGGAAAAGAGAGATTGAGGCAAAAGGTCACCCAGTATTTATAGCCAGGGGAAAGAGATCCCTGGTGAAGGATTAAGGAACTGAGGAAGAGCTAACTCCGACATCTACTTCAACTATACACGTGTATCGTCTCTATCTAAATTCGGAAATTTTATATGTATTTATGTTTAGTTTTTCTTCCTTCAATTGGAGTAGATAGGTTCGCCTATCGTCCGGTACACACTCCTCCCTTTTGAACAGGAGTAGAGATTTATTGATTGGTATGCTAGTTTCAGCATATGTCAGTAGAACCACATCTGTCCTTTTCTGTTCTTGTTTTTTTTTTTTTTTAGTACTTTCTCTTCAGTTTCCTTCACTCTCAGTAACCCCTTGTATCTTAGTGGCTTTATCACCTTGCTGGGGGTGAAATAATTAAGAAAGAAAAACGTTCCAAGAAAATCAAGTAATGGGGTGAAGAATAAGTATAAGAAAAAAATGGCTTTTTTTTTCATATTATGTCTTTGTAAAAATCAGGCAAAAGCAATTATGCTGTTTAAAAAACGGAGATATCTACACAAACATGTGTACTGACTAGATATAATGTTTATAGTGAT